TTCAACAAAGAGTATAATATTTATTTTTTCACGCAATAACACGCAGTTTCTTTGCTTTTGAAATTGAATTTGTAATAGTCGTCACAAAGCGTTACTTTTGTTGTGAAATTAATTGCGCCACTAGAGCGAAAATCGGTTGTTCGATTTGCACATTAAGCACGGTAAGAAAGAAAGATCATCCCGAACTTCAGAAACAAATTGGCAACGGAAAGCAAGACTGGAAAACGTTCGTGTACTTACTGCTCAAGCCCGCTCGTATGAAACAAACGAGCAATGGGAAGCAAGCTTGGGAAATATTCGAGTACGCACTGCTTGATCTAGACGAACATTGCACTATGATTTAAATCTTATTGCATTCTATTATCATTGGAACTTTAATAGTGGCAACACAGCTGAAAAAACGCTACGCAACAAAACCAAAGAATATAGCGTATACCACACGTAAAAACTACATACCTACCTTACCTCTCAGCAAAAAGACTCGTCCCTGTCTACGTCACGCGCATGCAAAGTGACGCGAAGAACGAGTCCTTGTATTAGCTCGCGGTCTAAAGTAAGTGTTTTCAGGATGTTTTCAAAACAAGAACAACGATGTTGGATAAAAATTGACTGTGCCAGAGGTCGTACAGCACGACAGTGTCATCAAGGTCTTCAAGAGGCTTGCGGGGAATCTGCATTGCCTTACAGAACCGTAGCAAGATGGGTGAAAGCATTCAATGAAGGATGCTAAAACGTGGCAGACATGCTGCGGCCAGGTCGTCCGAGTCTGCATCGCTGATGCAGACGTGCAAGCTGTTGCCGCACTAATGGACAGTGATCGATTTGTCAGCTGATTCGTCAGCTGACCAGAAAAACGGGATTAGCGCATACGACTGTGCTGCACATTCTGAAGGAACGCCTGTCCATGAGAAAATTGCTTCACGATGGGTTCCACATCAATTGATGGAAATGCAGAAATGGCTTACAATACGATGCTGCTCAAACCCACCTGGAGCGCTATGAGCGCGAAGGAGATGCTTTTTTATGCCGTATCATTACGCTGGATGAGACTTGGGCCCGATTGTACCAGCCAGAACTGAAACGCCAATCAAACGAATGGCGTCACCACGACGTTCGAAATTTCGTCAGAACCCCAGCAATGTGAAAGTTATGGTGATTCTCGTGTACGACTGTGATGGTGTCCATCTAACGCATACCATTCCCCACAGCAGACCGTCACTGCGCAGTATTACTGCTCATTTTTGGAGCACAATCTCCGACCAGCTTTGAGGAAAAAAACGGCGACACTTTCTGCAGAACGCTCCTCATTTTGCATGACAATGCTCGACCGCATGCAGCACAAGCTGTGACTGATTGTTCAAGCGATGGGGCTGGAAGTGCTTTACCATCCACCATACTCCCCAGATCTAAGCCTTGTGACTATGACTTAATTCCTAAGATGAAGGAACCACTTCGTGGCACTCGCTTCCAAACTGTTCCTAAGATTCTTGCGGCAGTAGACCGGTCCATTCAAACTATCAACAAAACAGGCGCTACTACAGGTATTCTGCGACTTCGACATCGTTGGAAACGGGTTGTACACAATGCTGGCGACTATATTGAAGGACTGTAAAACATGGTGACATGAATCACTTTGTATTCCTTGTAAATAAATAGTTGCCACTATTAAAGTTCTAACTCTAGTACGATTACAGTCTTTACCCAAGTGTGGTCGTTGGAAAGATGGATAAATTATAGCGCATTGCACAGCCCTCAAATTTAAGAATGAAGCACCGGGAATGTTGCTATGTGGGTAGTAAAGTGAAACTGCCCACACCAGATGGAAAAAAAATATTTTGTATCCAAAAGCATTTCAATAAACATAATTAAAACACAAACACTTTCTTTTCTTTAAGTAGCACTACAACGCATGCCTGGTAACAGCTAGCTAACGCCTTGCTTTTTATATGGTCATTTGCACGTAGCATGTTCAAGGGTAGGAACTAGAATTTGTACATTTTCGCTTCTGATGGTAAAACTCGAAATATTGTACATTGCACAGCTTTACAATAAAAATTCATTTAAGTGAATTGCCTTCTTTTAATAAAAATAACTCATAACAGAAGAAAACAGCCTCACCCGATTTTGTTACATCAAAGATCAATAATTAGAGAAGGATTACAGCGTTATCGTTCTCTCTGTTGTTAGATACATTACTCTCAATCTAACTTAACTGGAATCGAGTACTTCCACTAGTTTATAAATAACTATATTAAAAAAGTAAATACATCTGTGACTATATTAGTAACTTTATCGACTGCAGACATTTGTATACATTTTACAAAGAAGTGCTCCTTAGATTATATCAGCAATCGCATGAAAACTGTGCAGCAGACAGTGGACCAGAGCTGTATTAACCATTATGCAAAGTATAAGAAAGAAAGCTTAAGACATCAAGGAGAGAGAGAACCATGAGAAGCTTCTTAGAAGCTCAAGGGGCCACAAAAATCTCTCACTGCAGTTTTAAAATGTATGATGCACCTAAGCAAAACCAAGAGAGAAGGAATGGGGTGGGAGAGAATTGCCGTAAATGGCATGTGAGGGTACCCAAATTTTTTAAGTGCTTAGGGCATCTAAAAGTTTTAAGCTGATCCTAGTGGGCTTAAAAAACTAGCCAATAATAACATTTTTCTTTTGCATGGTACATTTTAGTGATTTTCCATCTTTTTCGACTCAGAGAGCCCCTAAAACTATTTCGTGGATTTAAGAAAACCAACAGAATGGACCTTTTTTTTTTTTTTTTTTTTTTTTTTTTAACCTGTACCATTTTCAGAAAATTAAATATAAAAAATATTGAATATATACCAATATTATGTGTACTTTATACCAAAAGTTCATTATTTTTTTATACTGAAAATTGATCTACTTCACACATGTAACAATAACGATGATAAAAATATTAATTGGTTATTTTTAAAGTTTAACCTTGTGGTCCGCAAAGAAGTAAAAAATTCGATCTAATCTTAGTTTTAATCTGTAAAACTCTTACAGAAGTTGCACGGAACTTCAGAGGTTCACGCAGTATCATTTGAAGATCATTGACTTCAAATGATAATACCATTGTCTTCAAAATCATTTCTATTATAAAGGCTTATTTATATTTATTGTTACGAATTGTGTGTATATGTAAATAATTTTAGTGAAATGATATGTCAAATTGTAGTATCTCTTGTATAAGAGCTGATGAACATGAAAGGCCTCAAAAGAGGGAAGCGTCTCCGGAACAATAAGGTTACAGGCGTACGTTCATTTAACATTGAGGTAGATGACTAGCTTGCGAAATTGGCGAGATAAGGCCAAGATGGCGATGATTTTGAAACTAATTTTTGTTTCTAATGGTTTTGGAAACTAATATTATGCGGAAAATCGCCAAACTTGGCAACCATTTGGGGACATTTTGGTTCCATCCCTGCATAAATGTAATTGATCTAATCATTATAAGTAACCGTTACTGTATCCTGCCCTATATGTAACTGTACCTGTACATGCCTTCCAGCAGTTTCGAGGAAGTTTAACAAGACAAGGTGAGCCTTTCGGCTTGTTTAAATTTTGCTTATAAAATTTAACAAGATATATAAGTTTTGGCTTACCTTTCTTGATCTATGCGAAGAAATATGGCTAGTAACGTCTAAAGCCGATTCAGGCAAATTTAGAACCTGGGAGAGAATAGTACCGAGACGGTTAGTGGACGCTGCCAAAAGTTCTGTATAAAACGCAGAACTCGCTGCCTGCGTTTATCAATCAATTTGCATCCTGATGGGAGTGGACAAAATTAGAAGTGATTTTCGGTGTAATAAAGGCCAAAATGAAAGCTTTACTCCTTCCTGTAATGGCAAAAATGATAAGATAATTGATTAATATACATCGAATCTTAACAACTTGCGTGAGCTACGCAAACATACTTATATATATATATATAAAGTTTACTATAGGTATATTAGACGCAAAAATAACACAAAACTTTGTACAGAATAGATCCAGTTTTTTATGTTACAGGTACAGATGCAAGTGGGCGACACACTTCACCATTGGTAATAAAAGCATAGCCCCGCCACACTAACTGTGCAGTTTCGCCCCAGTTTTGATAGAAAACACCCTACAGGAAATTTCGAGGGTCTCCAGCGTGGCCTTCGGGAATTTCGACCGAGGCCTTCGATCAGTTGGCCGTGGTCTCACACCCCTCTTTCCCTACCACGAACCTCTCGAGAATACTTTCGGTTCCCCTTGTGCTATTTTAAGCGACCCTTGCCGCACAGGCAAAGCAATCTTAAGAATCAAGAGGCCATCTTGATGGGAGAACGAATGAAGTAACTTTATGAAGTACAGGTTAAACAGAATTAATTAAAGGAAAACATTAAAGTGAGCTAGTAAATCAACATTCGATACGTCTTCTTAAACGTTAAACTTACTGTAGTTAAGGAATAGTTAATGTTACATACCTTCTAGGTTAATCCTACACTTTGTTTACACTCATACTGTTTGAAGATGGCCTTAGTATGAATTCCCTCGCTCGTGGCGTCACGGGAAAATCCGGTTGGATTCGGTCTTCTTCCCTCAGAATGGCCTTGTTATGAACTCGGATCCATCGGTAGGACAGTCAGCGTCACTAATCACTATACTATTACTAGTGGAATTGTTAAAACAGTACGATACTGATAATGCGTTCCGAATTCGAACTCAGTGAATGGGATGGCTTTACAGTTGGTTTTTGTGCTTTTCTTCCGTGCGTAAAGCTAACCTTTTCTTTGATGAAGTCCTTCACAACTTCATCCCTTCCCTTGTGTAGATCACTCGTATGTGCTCTGATATCTTTACCTTAACTTTAAATACCTTAACGTTAAGCAATTTGAATCTCAAATACAATGCTTAATAAGATTTGATGTGTAAATGCAAATAATAATATGCACTGAGAATAAGATACATATATTGAACATTTTCCTTCATATACTTCTTTTTTTCAGGCAAACGATGACGGTGCCCTGTTAAGTTTAAAATGGAATGAAGTTTACTCCTAACTGTTCACTTTCCCAATAAATACAACTTTTTTTCCTGCTTATAAGAACTAGAGATGGCGCCTGAAAAAGGAGTACCGTCTGCAACTATAGCAGATGAAAGTACAATGGAAACAGTGGAGCTTCATCGGGCAAGTAGTATGTCAGAACCCAATACACAATGTGTTAAAGATAATGTCAATGGCCAAAAGACTGACGTCAAAAGATTCAATGTCTATTCTACTATCGAAAAAAACATTTTATACGAAATCAAACAACTGAAAATAGAAGTAATCATGTTCTTATACATGTTTTCATATATAATGAGATCTGTGTCATCAGTCACTATGATGATGGAGAAAGTATGTTCTGTTCACTTAGGCTACTCCAAGGAAGTTTGCTCAAATCTTAGTTACTATGAAGAAATAAATGTTGAAGTCGAAAGAATGGCCAACAATTATCACCTTGCCCATTCGCTTATACAAATGTTACCATCTGCTATTTTAAGCTGCTTTATAGGAACATGGAGTGATAAGTATGGTAGAAAATTACCAATTATCGGTGCTCTTTTAGGAATAATACTGGATGGATTAGGTGCTACTATTTGTGCCTGGTTTTTTCATAGCAGAATAGAATACTATCTCATACCTGCCTTTTTTACGGGATTTTCCGGTGGATTCATAAGCGTTCTTACAGTTCTGTACAGTTATGCTTCTGATATAACAACGTTTAGAAAGAGAACCATGAAATACGCTCTCTTAGAAGTGGCCTTTGGTTACTCTTTTCCACTAGGACAACTTGCCGGGGGTTTGCTTTTCAGGAGTTATGGTTACGTCGTAGTATTCATGACTTCTACGGCGGGTCATATTCTTGGACTTGCATGGGTTCTTTTCGTGCTTCAGGAAACTCGAGGTTTAGATAATAATGATAATTGGAGAACAAAACTGCGTCAGTTATGGTCCACGGAAGCTGTTATTGCCAGCATGAAAGCAACTATCAAAAAGCGCCCTAACAGAGGAAGAGAGCAGCTGTTACTACTGATATTAGCAATGAGCATTGTTGTGCTTAATTTAGCAGGTGAAGTATTTGTTTTTCTGATGTTATTACTTTTTAAATTAGTATGTATAAATATAGTTAATAATGTACCAGAATGTTTAATAGTTTAATAACTTGTAAGTCACATAAATTTCTAATCTATAAGGATATAACTAATAAAGGAAAATGCTAAAGGGAAAAACTCCAGAAATGGGTACTGTTTTGAATTTATTTCTATTATCTTGGAGCGAACTAACGTTTAAAATTGCATTTATCAAAAAAATATTTTAAAATTTACTTTATTAACTAAAACTGATACTTTCAGTAACATAATTATAGGTACAAATAGAAGCAGGAGGGCGCTTGCTTTATATAAAAGATTAGCAGTTGTCATACTATGTCTTAAAAGGAAAACTACGCTTGAGATTTCCTTCTAAAGTTTATTTTAATATTTCAAAGTACATTAGATTATAATTAGCTGTAAAAGCATATAACCATGTCTAAGTTTTTTCTCGCTCCTTACCACTTGCCATCGTGATGTAACTGGAAATCACTTCTGGCTAGCAATAGAAGGTCCGGAATTCGAGTTCTGGCGAGGGCATAGCACCTTTTTCATATTTCCTGCTTCGAAAAGTTCAAAGACTCTACACATGTTGTTAAAGTATAGATAGTTAGATAGCAATACAAACAAGAGTAAATTGTTAGAAATATTAAAGATAAGAACTAAACAAAATTATAAATTTCGAGAGCAAAAGAGAGTCATGATTTGCTGGCCGAAAATTGTGAAAGAAAGAATTGTAAGTGGTTCTAGAACTATCGAATGAGCGCAAAATACAGAGGCCCTTGTTCAAATTGTAAGACAGTGGTAAACTGAAGCAGCAAATTCATTTGCAATAGATCTCGAGTTCTTTCATTACAGCACTGATATTTGGGCGAATTTAGACACCTGAAATACTGCAAGAACCGTCAACAGCTTATCCTTTTAAACGTCTGTGGTTACGCTGGAGAATCATTAGGATTTTCGAAGCAAGAAACATGAAAAGACAGGAATACTGTCGTCGCAATTTCATTCCGGACCTCCCCACTGCCAGACAATCTGTTTCCAATAACATTATAAATGCAAGCAGTAAGAAAGGAGAAAAATGCTTTACAAAAATTCGATACATATCAAGATAAAGTAATATTTCGAAAATACGTCTGGAAACAAGAATTCTTTCACCTTGCATGATTTTTAATATTTATAATTTTAGACCGGAAGATGCTTAATTTCATTTTTAACTAGGAAGATTTCTCATTTTCATCACATCTGTTTCAAAATATGTCATACGTGATTACGTTTTTGCATATTTCTGATATATGAGCTCTAATTAGCAGGCTCTTTGAATAAAACTTAAATTAAGCAATATAGTTTTCAGCAATATTTTGATTTTATCATTAGTTTCTAATGGTATTATTGCATTAATAGTACAGTTTGGCAAAAATATGAAAACTGCTTGAAAATTGAAATATCTTGAAACCAATAATCCTTTTCTTAACTATAATTCCAAAGGAAAATGATGCGATTCCTTAAGCTGTTTGTACTTTAGCATCACAAACCTCCCCAAATGTAAAATCCCCCATTCTCAAGATACTTCTGTTGTAGAAATGGTTTGTACTCGCCTACCGTGTGTTTTTAGCTCACTGTGTGCAAGTTGATTTACAATGCATATCCATCATACCGCTTTAGCATGGTTTAAATATGTGAAACATCCAAATAGTTCTTACAATTCTGAACAGTTAAGCTTTTACATTTGGTGCTTACTTTTATGAGATTTCGTTAACAGGTTATATGCTTTATCAACAACAGTACTCATACATTTTGGTTTCTCTCATATCAAACACTACTACTTTATAATAAAAAAATAATATAGAGTCAAATATTTATATACCTTAAAAAGTGTTTTTCGATTATTTAGGTTTTTCACTATGCAAATGTTTAAACAGATAAGTATTTTACAATACTGACCATCCATGCAGCCGCCTAACTTTTAGAAACATAAAGTTTGCATCGTAAAAGATGAATTGAGAGGATTCATATTTATTTATATAAATAAATATTGTTTATTTTAAAAGCCTGAATATATAAATGTTTATATTCATTTGCTTATGTCAAATTATATACTCCTGAAATAATATTAAATTTTCAAATAGTAAGTTCATTTGTATGTTAGAGAAACATAAGGGGCTGCGGAACTAAGAGTAAAAGCGTTTCCACAGTTAAGTAGTTCAGTCACTCCTGTTGTCACCGTTAGAATGGCATCATACTCTTAGGTCTGCCGATAACCGCAGAAATAGTTGAAAGGCCTACTGAGGTTAATTAATTATCTCAGTGTCTTGTAGGAATAATATATATAGGTATTTTAATTTATACTTTGCTTTTCTAAGATTATTAGACTAAATGTGTATAGAATTACTCCAACTTTGCTTATGCTTTGCAGCGAATTCATTTTTCTATTTCCATGCTTGAAAATCTTTTACATGATAACAAAATATTGTAAGAGTAAATACATAATTTTACAATAATATTCCTACAATGCTTTATTGTAAAAACATTAGCACTGTTTTTATATCAAGAAGGACGAACTTTCTGAAATAAAATTTCTCACTTCAACAGTTGCTTTTATGAGTTGAAGAGATTTTTTTCATTTTCTCGTACGTCTTAATATTTTGTACTACTGTCGTAATACCGGCAAGCTGAAACACTACTGGATGGATACTACTGTATCTTTCAAGAGATTTTACTCTTCTACCATAAAAGCATTTATTAAACAAGCCGTTGATCAATGAGATTTTGAAGGGTGTTTCCTAAAATCTGCTATTAAGATTGCAATCGATTATTATATGAAACAATACCTTCTTGAAAAGGTCATCTCTGCAGGAAATATAGTTGATTGAATGTAGTGTAATTTTTCAGTCACGATGTTCAGTTATGAGGGAAATTTCAGTCTATAGACAAATAAATTATGGGTCATTGTTTAGATTATTATACTTGCCGCACAAATCAGTTATTAAAAGTTGTAATAGCCTAGCTAAATTAGAATTCCTTGTAAATTAGAATACTGAAGAACTGTATAGCGACTATTCACTGAATTCTTTTAAGTAAAAAGTATAAAGAAGGGTTAAATTATCCTTTATTCCAACTCAAAATACATTAAAATATGACCCCTCTTGGGCGTACAATAAGCCTTCACTTGAGCTTTAATTCAAAATAGAAAATATAAAACTAATCCAAGGCTAAGTCAAATTAGCCATTCGAAGCTGCACAGAATCAACTAACGGGGTTGGCACTTACTTAGAGATCATTGGCGTATACTAGCAGAAGCGTAGAATTACGGCCCTGGAGAGTAAGCTTAGACGAACAGCAACAACATGAGCGAAAGGCATAACACGCTGTCCTACTGAAGTGAGCCGGATTTAAGCTGAAATAATCGTTTCTATCTCATCTGCATAAATCGTAATCCTGAAAACTCACTCTGGCAGGGAAACGTAGGTAGAAATTTAGAATATATAGGAAAGGTTTGTTCCAAAATAAAAATAAGTATGAGAAAAATAAAGTAGTCCTACAACCTTTACTACAACACATCCGGGTAAAAGATAATCACTGAGCAAACTTTGCACACACACTCGCCGTTCCACATGATGTAAGAAAAATGTCATCCAGACATGCTTGCCTTTTCTAGTCACCAAGCAGATTATTATGTGCCCACTACAAGTGTTTATGATGATGAAAAGCTATGATCTTAGGTATAAGAGCCGAAGGTTGCCGAAGTCATATCTAGCTATGCACAAAGAAATGAGTTCTTCGAACCATTGGCTCATCTTTGCTATTGAATTTATTGTTAAAATCGGTGACATTCCTCTTCTTGTGATGTTGATAAAACAAAATAACTAAGGTTCACTTACAACATCAGTTAGATTTAGATAGTCTATAACTTGTCGACAACTTTTCGATTCATTTTTGGTAGTCACTAACTGCTCAGAAGGTAAACAATAAGCCACAGTTGGTGTTTCAAAGATATTTAACAGCTAAAACATTTGTCTGCATGATCGGGCATTTATTAGAACTAAGTACACTTTTTTTCTGCTCAAGTTAAAAGTAGCAAAGAAATCCAATTATGAGAGATCTTTTTCTAGTGCTATATAAGTCTGTGTGCGCCTCTGGCATTTGTTATTCACTGCCTGAAATAGCACAAATCTTCATAACTAAAAGGTGGTTGTACTTCTTTTTTTATTAGTATAATTATTTCTTTGCTTAAGACCTTTCCTTGCTTGAAAGTAATCTTTATGTATTTTAATATAGGATCTTCTGGCATCGCCTATATGTATGCTCACCATATGTACAATTGGGACAACACTACATTCTCGACAGTTGCTTCAGTGTTTTCTGTTATTGGTACAACCTCTATGCTTATAGCTGTTCCCATTTTCAAATGGTTCAAGTTAAACGATCCAGCCCTAGGAATAGTTGGTAGTGCTTCAATCCTACTTAAAGGTGTAGGAATAGGTTTAGCAACTCGAAAATGGATTTATTTTTTAGGTAAGAGGTGTTTGTATGTCCTTTCAAAATATCATGCATCAAGTTTCAATTACTGTTATTCGATAAACCAATATAAAAAGAAGAAATTACTCACTTTTTAGAAGCTTTGCTCATAAAGTCAAGATAATAAATTTAATACGATTTAAACAACTTATAAATGAATTCAAACGTAAATTTAATACGCTTGCTTATAATAAAAATAACTATGAGATTTTATATAATTTGATATTCTTAACGGCAAGTTAATTTTAAAAACTATTAATTTATAAGGTATTTTCTCCCTCCTTTCCTCGTGCCTTCGTGATGTAGAAAAGGTGGTGGCCGATGATTTGTCACCACAGGGATTTGGTGACTGGCAGCCCTAATTCTCAGTCCTCATATAAGAAGGGAATATATAAGATATTTTCAACTTCCTTTTCTCCCGCCTTCGCGGTGCAACTGGAGGCACACTCGACGAGTGTTCGGGAGATTTGGAGTTCGAAACGCAGTGAAGATATTGAAGATTTCTTCAGCTTCCTGGCTTCGAAAAAAATTTCTAAACACTGCACAGTGTTTTGAATTAACTGAGTTACTGAAATTTTAAGATTAATGAGGAAAATTATATAGATAATAGAATTTATAAGCCATGATAAATATCTACTCAACTGCCTTACGTGTTTAAAAGTATCTTTTCATACTTTTGCTTCAGCAGCTATTCTACTAATTCTTTTGCTCTCTGTTTTGTTGAATAACTTAAAATAACTGACTTAAATTTTTGTGCAATATTTTATACAACTTATATAAGTTAATATGGTTAGAAACTCAAATAAAAAAGCACTAGTTTATGTGCAATATTTCTTTTTCTCTTTTTCAAATTATTAGGTAAACATTTGAAATTGTGTATAAATACATCTATTTAATAGCTTCGTTGCTTTTTGTGCTATAAATTTTTTGTATATAGCCTTATACTTAATTAATAGCTCTTTTAAAACCCGACTAGTAGATATAAAATATTGGTACGAATTTCAGCATAAACTGACAGTTTTCTTGACGTATCTTGAGTTTTCAAAATACGACCAGCACGAACAAAATTTCATAAATTTCTAGATTCCGCCATTTCTCTTGCTATTAGCAGGAAGCTTATTGTACCTATTGTATTTGTTGAGTTCATTCTTATTTCAGTGAAACAGCCGAGCTTTTATGCATTAATTTCCTTTGAAGCACCTTTCTGCCATCTAGTTCTTGACAGTTTTTATCATGTGTATCCGAGAGCTTCAAGCTTCTTCGAGAACATACATTATGCAGTATATTTTTAACAGAAATTGCTAAATTTTTCTACGACTCGGTTTGATCCACCCTCGGTTAAGTAGGAGTTGATTCTAGCTTAGAAAGTGTACACATTGGACATACTATGATCTCAGTCTGACTCTCTAACTAAAGCATTTCATGCTGTCACTACTCGCCCTACGGAAGTTCCATGTGTATTCAGACGCTTCTACGAAAAGACTGGCTAACATATTCAAAGGAGGATGCAGAAATTATTTTCGTCGAAAATTTCGGAAGAAGTAATATGCACTGCTGCTTAAAATTTTGCGGAAAAAAGTCTTTAAAATTCAGTGAAAATAAAATAATATTTAAAACACTAAGAGGTCTAATAAGAAGCTCTGAGGCATTAAATCCATCCAAGATGCGAATGGGCAATAAAAGTAACCTTTTCTTTCCCTTTCCTTTCAAAAATGACCAGAAACTTATAAGGTATTTCTCCCGCTTTCCTAGCGTGCCTTCGTGGTGTAGTGGTTCTGCACATTGTGCGAGTAGTCTAGAGGTAGGCGGTTCGATTCCCGGCAAATTCGGTTGCTAAATTTTCATCTCTCCGGATTCCAATTAACCTAATGTCTCTATAGTGGCGCCCTAAGTAAAAGGGTGTTGGATGAGGATTCTCCACACCCAGGATTTGGCGACTAGGTCCCCTAAAAACCACAGTCGCACTTTAAAAGGGGGAGTATATAAGGTATTTCTCCCGCCTTCCTAGCATGCTTTTGTGGTGTAGTGGTCGGGGCACTGAGCCAGTATTTCAGAGTTCCGTGTTTCGATTCCCGGCGAAGGCGTTGCTAATTTTTCAACACTCCTGCTTTCAAAAATACCTAATGTCTCTACAGTGGCGCCCGAACTAAAAGGGTGATGGATGATGACTCTCCACACCCAGGATTTGTCGATTGGGTCCCCTAGAAACCCCAGTATCCCTTTAAAAAGGGGGAGTATATAAGGTATTTCTCCCGCTTTCCTAGCGTGTCGTCGTGGTGTAGTGGTTCTGCACACTGGGCCGATATTTCAGAGGTCCGCGGTTCAATTCCCGGCGACGGCGGTTGCTAATTTGTCATCTCTCCGGCTTCCAATTAACCTAATGTCTCTACAAACTTTGTTTGAGCATTCGTTGAGAATGGTGAATCCATTGCAAACATCTAGCCATATCATTACCCAGAGCGTTGTCCAAGTTGCACTGCAAAGGTAATCGATGTTGGATTTCATACCGATATTTAAGCAGTAGCAGGAGGAATAACTCGGTGTCTACCAAAAACATCGCGGAGAAAACAATGCAACGCGAAAACGTCGTGATACAAAACATCGTGGAAGAAAACAAAGCAAAGAGAAAACATCGCAGCACTTAAACATCGTGGTACAAAATATCGTGGTCGAAAATAAAACGGTTAAAAAATTTTGCAGTTTAAAAATATCGTAGTAAAAAATAAAGTACTTACAAATCATCGCATGACGATAACATCGCACATATGCGTTTTTCAAGTTTTAAAAATAAATGCATTTTCGCATAATGATTTGGGAGCGCAAGAAGCAAAGAGGCATATTTTTCTTCTATATTTCATATTTTTGAATGAACTAATAACTTTTTGCTGAAAAAGTAAGAAGGAAACCTAAGCATTTGAAAATTGAAAATGAAAAGAAAATTAATGCAACTTATAGCACTTAATTTTGAATTTACATCGTTAATTAACAAAGATTATTCCTAACTTAATCGTTTTTAATAAAGTTTTACTGATAATTTTTCATGAAAAATAAATTCTAAAAATGTTTTGAAAAAGGAAGATAAATAACTGCGTGAGGTTACCTCTATACAAATTGCTTAATTAATTACCAAAATTATTTTTTTTTCACGTTTGTTAATCTATTATTATTTTAGTGAAAATTATATCTTGTTTTATTTACGTTTATTCTTAAAGAGTCGTTAACGTTTTTACTCTCTTTCCCTCTTTCCTTCTTGCGCTTCCAAATCAGTATGCGAAAATGCATTTACAACTTTTAAAAACCTAAAAAAAAAATTTAAAAAAAAAACATGTGTGCGATGTTGTTATCATGCGATGATTTATAGGTACTTATTTTACTATACTAGTAGTACTAGTACTTTATTTTTTTATTTTTGATGACAATGTTTTTAATCTGCAAAGTTTTTGAACCACAAATTTTCGACCACAATATTTTGTACCTCGGTGTTTTAGAACTGCGATGTTTTCTCTTTGCTTTCTTTTCTCCCACTATATTTTGTACCACCACGTTTTTGCCTTGCGTGGTTTTCTCCACGACGTTTTCGTCCGCGATGTTTTCGGCTGTAACCAATAACTCGGTAAATAGTATGCTAGTATCAGTAATTCTCAGACTGTCTTGCTTGCTCCGTGCATCACACACGCTGCACGATCATTCCTCCCTTCCTTTCCCAAACAAAAATACATATACATTTATTTAAATTTATATTATTTTAAATGCATTTTGTAAATTAAACAAGGAAAAATATAGAAAATGTTTATGAATACCAAAACTTGAATAAAAGTAGTTTTTTGTATTCGTAAACTGGAACTAAATACTTAACAGGTAAATAAAAGGCTGACCGCATCCCCCCTCTTGAATCTATGAAATTCCCTTTGGTTGTAAACTTCCGGTATATGTAACATTCGTGGCCTAGCTACTAGGCGTTAATGGCATATATTAAGTTATTTCGCACCTTAAAAGTTATCAGCTATCTTCTTAAAACGCCCACTTATTTCATCAAGCGCATCACTTTGAAATGGTGATTCAGGTCACGTTTCCTACTATTAGATCTTTTCTTTAAAACGTCATATATGAAACTTTAGGATCGTAGAATATATACGGAAAAGAAAGCCGCTTCAGATTTGAATTTAGTTTTAATATACAAAATCACTCGTAAGGCATACAAGAATATCCTACGCAATACGTTTATGAAATAAATAAATATGAAAATAAAAGTATTTTTAATTTTTCATTAGATTATGACATATAAAGAAAGTATTTTGTCATGTTACCTATAATAAAATACAAGTACTATCAATAATTAATTTTTATGAGCTATTCATTCAGTTGTAGAGACATTAGGATTTTTGAAAGCAGAAGAGATGAAAAATTAGCAACGCCTTTGCCGGGAATCGAACCACGGACCTCTGAAATACCGGCTCAGTTTACTAACCACTACACCACGAAGACACGCTAGGAAGGCGGGAGAAATACCTTACACAGTTAAAAAATTATCTGTTCTTTTTTAGTTCTTTGTACGAAGTAAAGGAAGTATTGTAATCAAGAAAAATTCTGGGTTTCATATTTAAACGAAAATATCCATTTTGACTGCTATCGAATGCAATTTAACTATGTTTTCGTGTGACATCTATACTTAAGAACAGAATAAAGGGCTCTTTTTCCTTGAATTATGAAACTGATTTAAAATGGATTCAGAAGAGATCTTTTTCGTGGCGTTTGTACATTCGTATATACGTATGTATGCATGTATCTTGCATAACTCAAAAACGAGAGGCCTCAGAACGTTGAAATTTTGTCCAAAAATATATAAATATTTATATCTATCTATGTATGTATATATATATGCACACACCCACTCTGTTACTCGGCTCAGTCAGCTCAGATTTGTTATTCTTATAGGTTGGTAAATTGTGCATTTTTTGCTTTAAAAATCATTGAATTATATTGTTCTTATCTTCCGGTTAAGGTTTTTATGCCTTTAGTTATTCTGCATGCAATAGTTGTAGAGTTATCAACAATTTAAAAGTTGTTTAAGTGCGGCTAAGCCGGTTTTTTTTTTTTTTTTTTTTTTTTTTTTTTTTTTTTTTTTACTACAGCAGCCGCATTTGCTTACATTTGAAACTTAGTAGAATAGGAAATAGTCTTTTTGCACCTTCAGTGTATTTTTGCCGAGTGGGAACAAAGAGAAACTAAGTTTTGTACACCGAAAAATCTGTCTTTTTGCCTGCTGGCCGAATTGCTTGTTTTTGCGTAGCAACTCTAATTTTAACTGTAAAAATTGTTTTTTTTTTAATTGATTAACTGTGTCTGGCGTTTTATGTTTTTCTATGTCTTTCAATTTTTAATGAAGATATTTTGAGCTTTTATGTATTTTTGCCTTGCCGCGAAGTGGGAACTGAATAATTGAATGAGAAATATATCTCTAATGAAATTCGAGGAAAAATGTTTAAATGAAATGCAGGAAAAAATGCGTATAATTTAACATTCCGTACATGAAAGTCATGCGGTCTACACATCAGACGTTTTTTTCCATGTATTACCACTCTTGTAAAACGAACTCTATTCTCTGTACGGCGAATAAACATATAAGATGTGCTCCTGTCTATCAGATGTTGTCTCTTTTTCTAGCAATGTCTTATTGTCAGGTGAAACTATTTTAAAACAGATGGAAAGTTTTAATTTCAGAAAAAAAAAGAAGAAGCTTAATGTTTTATTCGAAAAACTTGAAAAATGTCTTTGAAAACATGCTGTTTTTAATTTATTGGATTTGATCTTATTCGAAATGTTCGAAACTGCCAGCTTTTAAATTTTAAAGTCAACAGTTTAGCAAGGATAACACGGCCGGACGGAATTTTGTATTAAAATCTTGTGTATTTTTGTTTTAACTATGAAAAGCATATCACCTTAGGTAACAAGCAATTATATTTTAATTATATAAAGAAATGAATCAGTATGCAAACGTGTAGAGACATTAGGTTATTTCGAAGCAGGAGATATAAAAAATGAGCAATGCCCTCGCCTGGACTCCAACCACAGACCTCTCGAATATTCGTCGAGCGTGCTGACCACTACACCACGAAGGCATACTAAGAAAACGGTAGAAATATCTTATAAACGCTTAAAAATTCTTTGAAATTGTAAACAATTTTCAGAAAAGTTCTATCACTCTGAAGTTAACCAACAAATATGAAAATCTCTGTAAACTAATACAGTCTTAGAGCAATTCACCAGACCTGAATGCTCGAACATTAGAATTCAAATGTTTGAATAAGGAAAACAGGCAACAGGATCAAAATCACATGTTAAATGATACATGTTAAATGCCTTTCTACGGAATTTAGTAACAAAAGGAACAAAATATTTGCATTAAAATCATACGACATCAGAACAGAGAAGAATAAAAAATGAAGCAGAAAAAAAAGAAAAAAAAAAAAAAAAACTCTTTGTCCAAAATTTGTAATAAAAATCTACTGAAAAATAACTCAAGCACTTTTTAAAACAATGTGAGAAATAACGCCATTCACAAATGCAAAATCGGTGTTTTCGTAGCAGAGCCACTTCGCATATGTTGCAATGATAGAACGTAATTTCTTTTTGTTAAGCCGTGCCCCCATAATCATTGAGTTACTAAGTAGTGAACGTAGCGATGTAGAAGAAAAAGTGCTATATCTTCGTATTTGTTAATTCAAAGTTAAGAATCGTGAAATAAGAAAATGTGTTATGCATATTTAACCTGAAAATGAAATTAAAAAGTGCGATGTAATATGCATTCTTGTTCTTTTAAGAAATGCGCACAAAATTTTAAACACTAGTTATACGACTAATGCTACATCTAATAATTGTTACAGAGTGAAAGATGCGGCCATTCATCTGATTTAAGGATTGATATAAAAATTATGATGCAGGAAGTTAATACGAAATAGAATTTGAACGCTTTAGTTAGTAAAATGTAAGTCAATGAAAGCAAATAAAACCTCAGATGTCTCCTTAAGAATCGTATAGCAGGGATACTCAACCGGTGGTACGCAAGAGAAAAATAGGTGGTACGTAAAGTATTATTAACTACTAAATTCAAAATCTCGTGAAGAAAAAGAACAATTGATAGACATTGCCTGTGATCGAACTCTAAACGATGATTTCAAAAATAGCCCACTTGTTAACTTTTGGCAGAACCGAAAAACGAACTTAAATGCATTTCAAATAAAGCTATTAAATTTTTATTGCCTTTTTGCACAACCTATTTGTGCGAACAAGGATTTTCTTTCATATTATATTTGAAAAATAAATACAGGACTGATTTTTTAATATTTCTATTGAGAAACTGAAAAATAATCATCTCAAAATGTACAAGTGTACTAAAGTTTTAATTTTTTGTTTAGACGGTGCGCGTTAGTCAAAAGAATCGCTGGTATAGAGTAAGCCATGATATTTGAGAACTTAGATGCGATGACTTATTCAGATAAATGTGAATTCAGTCATTAAAAGAAGATAAATAATTTACGACACTTATTGACAATAAATTAAGGAAGGAAACTTTCGAGCGAAACAAAATGTATGATATACTTTAAACTTTCAAGATGTTTAATTGCTGAAGAACAAATTAATAAGAATTAAAAATTCTACGGAGTGATGATGTTCATGAATTTATAGGATATAAAATATCTGGAAGAAATGTTTGAGAGATGAAACCATAAAAAGAGAGTTACCTGTTTTATACAGACACACACACACACAAAAAGTGAATCTGGAAAATGGAGTTTTGGAAATCAGAGGTATTTTTGTTACTGCGAAATTAATTTTTAGCCATACATAGTAATTGTGTTAAGATAGTTTAAAGTACATAATGATTTCCAAATTAATGTATTAAACTGATTTTACATTACTATAGTATTTTTTATTTAAAATTACTTTGTTATTTTGAAGTTAATGTTTAATATTACTATTATTATATCGTACTTTTCGTATTGTTGTACAATTAATCGATGTTCAGTGATCTTTTATAAAACTGCAATAAAATTGAGCCTTTTAAAGAAATATCTTCACAATGAACTATTTCTTTTCAGCAAGTCTACTGGGATTGTTATCAGGACTAAGTACTCTAGCAGGACGTTCAAGAATTTCTAAAGTAGTTTCAAAGGATGATTTAGGTAATTTTGGAATTTTCTTTGCTATAATAGCTAATCACAAGAAAATGAAGATGAAATTAAATAACAATGGCAATCAAAAAATAAAATGCGAATCAAAACTACTCTTTCCTTACTTACAGTAAAGAAATCTGCATATCTATTATTATAAAATAAAGAATCGCAATATCAGTTCGTCGCATAGGTCAGAGACAGGTAGGTCCAGAGCTATGGAATTTGGAGCATATGTTCTCGAACGATGAAGATGTGTATTCGAAGAACTATTTTTTTTTTTTTTTTTTTTTTTTTTTCAAAACTTAATTTTGATTTTTTTATTCAATGCTGAAATGTAATTTTGTAGATTTTTCGCTTATGTTTTGACTTAAAGAGCAAATTAAAAAAAATCTTAGTATTTTACCGTTTCCACCACCTTTTCTAGTGTTCTTTCGACCTCTTCTAGTCCATTATTTAAAATTACAAGGCCCAAAAAAAATGTACCATTTATTAAGTTTTGAATTTTTTAAGTTACAAACCGAATTTTTTCACCACCTTTTAAAAAGTTATATTAATAAAAAATATTAATCAGGAGACTAAAACTAGCCATGCAATCATCTAATGAAATACACAAATTTTACTAAATCTTGAGCTTAATTCTTTTTACCAATTTATAAACAAAACGATTTTTCGATAGGAGACAAAATGTAATAATTGTATTAAGATAACTACGTTTTAATTTAGAAGTCAAACAACAAAAATCAGCATTATATTTGGAAATTTTCACAATACCAGTTTGGATGGTTTTACCGAACCATCATCCTCAGCTGCTAAAGCGCAAATGAACGAGATAAGATATAGTGATTAGATAAGATAAGATAAGAATGACTGAACAGAAGGTAAGCTACTGGCGCCATTATTGACAAAACGAGAAATAGAACATAATTTCCTTAAAGGCTGAAGGCAAAGATAGATTGTAATTAGGGTAATTAGCTACAGCAGAATGATTTTTAGAATGTGAAAAAAAAATTCTCTAGAAAATTTAATTCACCAAGGGAGAATCTAGAGGCCACCAATCTTCCACCAATGGAATTCCAGAGACGTTTCACATTAAAAAAAAATCTTTCTGTTTTAGTTAACAAGCCTAATTTCAATTCATCTTTGCCTTCAGCCTTTAAGGAAAATATGTTTTATTTCTCGTTTCATCAATAGATGGCGCCAGTAGCTCAATTCCTGTCCATCCATTCGTATCTTATCTAATCACTATATCTTACCTCGTTCATTTGCGCTTTGGCAGCTGAGAATGATGCTTCGGTAAAATCATCGGAACTAGTACTGTGAAAATCTGCAAATATAACGCTAATTTTTGTAGTTTGACTTCTAAATTAATACTTGTTCTGCGTGTTATTTTATCTTAACAACTACGGTTATAAAGAAATTACCAGAGATGCAGTTATATTACAAGCCATAATGTTAAATTAATTCAATGCTTAGTGAAATGTTAAACTGGTTTAAATCAAGAAATCAATATACACATCGAAAGTAATTTTATTTCACAATGTTGACTGTTTCCATGGTTTTCGCCTTTATAATAAAAATAAGATTAACTGAGAATCTCCTTTATGAAGGCGTCATTGCACTTAAGCAAATAGCCCTCATGCCCTTTGCCATATTCGACTAAACAAAAAACAATATTTTAGAAGGATCTGAAGACGAATATGAGATTCAGCAATTCACTTTGGAAATTCCCGCACTAGAGTGCGCAGCTTTGACAAAAACAATGAATTAGCGAAAAGTTACAATTTAAGCATTTTATTTCAACATGTTATGCTGAACATAAACTTCGAAGAGCAGATTAAGGCAATCAAAGAAGTTTTCATGTATATATATGAAATATTTCATTTATTGGCAGAATTATGGCCGTTACTAGAAAGATGCTTCCATCGCTGAAACTTCTACTAGTACTGGAATGTTGAATTCGTAACCTTTAGAGGGAAAATGCCGATTTTGTCCAATATAATATTAACGTTACTACATTCACAGCAGGAAAAAGGTTAAAGCAAACTTTATTATAGCTGTCTAGGTATCTTATTGTCTTCTCTCCTATTCCATGTGAAAACACAGTCGTTACTTGCAATTATCATATGATAATTCTACTTATGAATCAACAGACAACATTTTTGCCAATTTGTTATATTAAAGACATATGATGCCTGAAATGTGGTTCTAACACTTAGACTCAGCATTGTACACGGGCATGTAAAAAAAATGTAGACATAATTTTTTGAAGGAATAGATTCGAATACCTGCTAATCAATAAAACGTATTCAGCTGCATTAATTCTTTTACCGGTTGAAAAGAAGTTTATAAGTTCTAATTCCCAAATTCCCAAAAATTATCCTAGAAGCTCAAGGTAGGCTTTTGCATGCAGAAAGAAATTTGTAAGTTCTAATCCGTAAGTTTCCCAAAATTATCCTGCAAGTGCATAATGCTTTCGCATTATTAAAATTATCCTAGAAACTCAAAGTTGCTTTTTGCATATAGAAAGAAGTTTGTAAATTCTAACTCACAAATTTCACAAAATTATCCTGGAAGCTCAAAATAGACTTTTGCATTATTGTCACCTCAACTGATTGATCAAAATTCTTATCTAGGATATACGAAGCGTAAATCATAGAGAAACTATGATATCAAATTAAGGCACGTAAGAAAAACTGATTTGTCATTGCTGATATTTTAAGAAACCTTGGCCAACTAACTACCTTGGGCCAAAGATATAGCTATCCCGATGGGCATTTCCAGTCTTAAATCCAGCCAATCTAGTTTCTACAACACTTTAAACGCCTTTTGCATTTCGGGTAATTTTACTCCGTGTGGCATGTAAAGCGCTTTTAATGCCTTTAAAAGTACTTTTTAAAAGTATCAACATTGTCAATTTTCTTTCAGAATTAAACACATGACCGCTCAAAATAAAAATTCGCAGAGTGATATTTTTTCGGCCAATTTTTTATTCTTTATCTTAACTCAACCTCTCTTAACCTCTTCGGCTGAATGCATTAAAAAGTTAAAACTATTATTTTAAGAAAGCTATTACCGAACTTTCCTCCTTTAACTCTTAAGGAGAATATACCGGCAAGATAATTCAGTATGGAATCAAGCTCAAGAAAGGTAGGTAGGGTTAGACAGAATGTTGTGAAGATACGTATGTAATGTATTAACTATTTCAAAGAGATTTTAGTAATATTTTAATGATTACTGATATTGCATATAAAATATATCTTTTATAACTTGCTACAAGTGAAACGAAAAAAAGTAATTTAATTACTTCCACTGCGTTTCGTTTTAAAATAGAACAAAAATTTTATATTTTAAAAGTTAATTATGAACCAAATTATACCTTTCAGAGTCTCTTAAACTTCAGCTCATCGTAATGTAAAAGAATATTTGTTTTCAGTTTGTTAAAATGATAGAAATAACTCCATGTGCATCACAATAAATTCATATATTAGGAACTGAAATTAAGTCTATTACTACTAAGAAACTTTTACGTCATACTAACGACAATAGTTTTTACATTAATTACAAAATTATCCACTCACAAGATTGAGTTTCTGCATGTAACAAATTTTTCTTTTACAGGCAAAGTTTTTTCATTTCTGACCACGGCAGAGGCTATTTTACCTGTTTTGGCAACATCTGTCATATCGCAATCTTTCAATGCCAGCTTAACATTTTATCCTGGATTAGTATACCTACTGATGGGAAGTCTCTGTTTGGTGCCCCTTGTCATATTTTTGTAAGAATTTTTTAATGTATCTTTCTTTGATGAGTGCTTTTTCGTATGAAAACAATTAACTGTTCTAGTAAGAATAGTAAGCTGTTTAGATTTGAAAAATTCTATAACATTTAAAATTTTCTTTGCTCTTTTGAGAATGATATTTAACTTTTAATATAAAAGGAAAACACGTGTAAATTTCTAAGGCACAAAAATCAGTCTTGAAATATTAGAAGCAGGAAAATAAGAAGCAACGTAAATATTTTTATTGTCAGACAAAAAGCTAAGCATATTGTAACATGGAGAAACGCAGTTTAAATTTTTCAACATTTGTTATCAAATAAGGTTTTAAATAAATGATCTATCAGGAGCAGAAATAAATATTTATTCTACTCGTATATTTGATGAATTGGGAGGAAAAAAATCAGCGCATTCATATATATAATACTCTACTGCAATTTTGAAACAAAAAAAAAAAAAAAAAAAAAAAAAAAACTACGATACGCCTGTCTCGATAATTTATCACATTATTCTCCTTCATCTAAAAGATAAAAATGTAAGGTCAGTCAACCTAAAAATGAGACAATTTTTTATATCTTGTGCTGTAATTTAGACTCGAATGTTAAAATACATATGATTTGATAACCCGTGGGTTGCGTCTTAAATAGCAAAGTGAAAGTATTTTAGTAATATAGTTTCACAGTATAATAGGGAAGAACCTTTTTTCATAGTCAGGGAGGGAGAGTTCCCTAATCTAATACTTAAAAATAAGACTATCATTATGTGTTTTTTTTACTAGAGAAATGTTTTATAAGTAATATTATTTGACTACTAGAAATTGCAAAATTTGCTTCAGACGTAGCATAACTCATTGATACTTGTAATCTATCTTCTTCGATTTAATTTAATTAAAATTTGAAGTTATTGTTTAAGGAAAATAATCAAAAAAACTCAGTAGCATCGTAACGATGTTCGCTTGATGTCTCGGCTTGTGAGTTTTTATCAATTAGTTACCTCTTTAATTTGGCCTTAAATGCCTTCTTTCTTTATTTCATGACTTCCTTTACGGTCTTTGGCATATTTTAGCATGATGCGAGCTTTTTCTTTCTTTGATTATGGGGAACCATTCTTTCGACGTAATTAACTTGCTGTTGTTAAGATCAGTTTTCATTCTATCTGAGAACTCTTTTTTATTTTGCTTATTTTCTCAAATATAATCTTTGTTGGATGCCACTCCTGTCAGAAAAAACATACCAGTCTAATTAAAACATGTAATTACAATTTCAGGTTTCAAAGCATCAAATTAAATACTACAAACATTACATTTCTACCCAGTTGCAAGCAACTTTAGTCTGAAAGGATCACCTGAATATTAAGAAGTGAAAACTGCTATCACATTCTTATGTTTTTATTATAAGTATTTATTTATGTTTTGATTATAAGGATTTATTTATTTTTAACTAACCAGTTATTTTTTAAGTAGTTTTACTGTCATTCTCTTTTTCCGTTTTCCAGCAGAAAGATGGCTCCTACAGAATGATAATTTTTAGTTTGCACATACTCAAATGAGGTAGAAAAAGATAATAATTGAAGGACAGTTTCAACAATTATGGCTGTGGAGGTGTAACGGTCTGGGCATGCATCATGTTGGATGTCCGCACACCTCTATACGTCTTTGACAGAAGCTCTGTGACTGGTGTGAGATATAGGGATGAGGTTTTGGAGCTCTATATTCGCCTTTTCCGGGGCGCAGTGGGCCCCGAGTTCATCTTACAGGACGATAAGGCGAGGCCACATATCGTCCTGTAAGATGGTCTTCTGGTCGACAAATTTATCGAGAGTGAGGATATTAGCCGGATGGATTGGCCAGCCAGGTCTCCAGAACTCAACCCTATAGAGCATGTTTGGGACGCTCTGGGGAGGGCAATTGCAACTCGCAACCCCCCTCCGAGAGCTATCCAGGAACTGAAAACAACGTTGATAAATGAGTGAGACCAAGTACCACAGGCAATGATAAACTGCCTTATTTCCAGTATGACATCACGCTGCGAGGCCTGTATGGCTGTAAAAGAGGACCCATACCCCTATTAACCTATTTCTTTTGTGTTCTCTACAACCGCTGTTTCAGACCTTCATACTCCCATGAGTGTTACACACGAACATGTCTGTCTATTATAACTGCTGAATGTTTATTTTGTTTGTATTATATGAACCTATGTTCACACCAAATTTTATTAAAATCTGCCGAGTAGTTCTGGAGATTGTAGATCAAATATGAAAATTCCATTAATTTACTTCACCAGTGTAATTCATCTGTCTGTAACTGGTATGAAAATGTGTACGCTTTAGAGATCTTTGGTTTCTTCCGATTAAAGTTACATGGCTTACTCATTTTTAGGAAACGTTTCAACGGTTTTACTTTTTTACACTTTAATCTTTGATATTTTCTTTGCATTTGGTGGCAATTTTATTCAAAAGCATCTAGTTTTGTAAAATAATTCTAAGCATTTTCGTAGCTTATTTGTTGTGTCATTTCAGTTTGCTGCGCCATATGCTATTCTTTTGAAGCGTACTTACGTATTTTATCACCTGAGATCAAATGATAAATATGCTTTTTTCATAAACAATATACTAAGCATTAGACACATTTCGGGGTTTGGTGAGCTTCTACGTTTTTCATTTGTGACGAAAGCCTTACTAACCTCACTGTTGTCCCAGTACTGGCTTTCTGTAGCTCTTTGTAACAGTCATCTGAAATGTAGATAAACTTAGAACGTGGGTTTTCTATAAGAAGTTCTCATTCTCTGGTCACACTAAATAATTTTTTACGAGACTACAATTCTCGAGAGACTTTGGATGCGCTGGTGTGAACTGTATTAGAGATAAAATACAGATTATTAACAAAATCATGCATACCTGCCCTGTTGTAATAGATCTGTCCGTATTAGCACTAAAAATTAGTTTGGAAGATTATAGAGCTTTTTGTAAATATACTATGGCAGCATATGGATTAGCTTTTCCCATCAGATTTTCCATCCACTTCTGGGGCACGCTTTTCTTACACAGGAAACAATTAACTTCTGTATTTCTTTTATATTAAGTTAACTTCTTTAACTTCTTTTATATTAAGTTACAAAGGTTAGTGCATCATGGCTTCTTCTCACAAAATGCTAACGAAAAGTAAGCTCTTAAAACTTCTTACAAAAGAGAATAAAAAGCAGTTGATTTTTTCTGTGGCCAATATGATTTACTTGCAATCACAATTATTCTCAGACTTCTACACCAATAATGGCGACATAAAGACCGAGGGCTAAAATTCGGCCTTTTTCATGGAAAGGTAACAGAATTTATTTTCGTTTTTATTTTTGATTGCGAACTTCCTGATAGTGTTATTTTGATATACTTTATGATAATATGTAATTCATGGATATTCATCACAAAAATTATCATGAAAATAAGAGATTTTTGCTATGATTAAAGTCTGACTTTGGTAGCTTAAGGCTTCGCATGGCCATTCACAGTACTCTCCTTAATTTATTTTTCTTCGTAAATTGTAAAATTTAAGAAATACATTAAATTTATTGAAGAATATATTCAAAACCGCATTTTGAATAACATAATTTTACATTTGACCTCATTATCGTTCTATAAGAAAAATATTTACAAAGTTTATCTGAAATCAACATACATTCTTCATTGAAGTACCCCATACAAACCAGAACGTATTTCTAAATATCAGCTAAAAATATATTATATGACTCGAAGTGTCAAAAGCATATTTTAAGTTAGAAAGAACAAGGCCATTATTGTTCTATATGATTGATATGTATGAAACTTGACTGTCACTACTCTATAAAGACAATAAAATTGCATTCTTTGGAAGATTTGTTATTACCCAATTGTAATTAACTAAAACATGTTTTAAAAATTTATATTAAATTCAATCCCTTGCTATTTATAAAGTTAGCGCAAAATACAAAATATAAATTTTAAAACGTTCTAAGCTACAAAATATATAAGAGGGCGCAAAAATATTTACAATTCGCTTAAACAGGTTAACTCAAAAAAATTAGTGAAAAATATAATTCCTAAAAAGTGGCTACAGAAGTTACAAATTTCAAACCTACTTAAGTAGGTTTAAAGTTTAATTGTTTCCCGCGTTTATAATCCACTTTTCCTTCTATAAAGTAGAGGAATGACTGGAAATGGAACAGCTGGCATGCACTAGCCATAGTTCAACTAAAAAGAGGTTGAGTTCTTCGATGACACCTTCAAATTGTAGATTTTAACCTTAAGGTCATTCCAAAAGAGACAATTCACTATTTTAAATAAGGGAAGCGACAGGACCGTTTGACTTCTGACCTGTCGGGATAAAAAATTCTCTGATATGTATTTCATATATGTATCCATCCGAAACTACTGATATTCCTCTTTAATTTCTTCCTTTATAGTTCGAGCTTGTCGATTTTTCTTCATCTCATTTCATAATAATAACTACTTTTAATTGCTGCAATGCATTGCATAAACATTAATGTGAATTATTTCCTAGTCTGAGATATAGATAAAAGGATATAGATAAAAGGAGAAAGCAATATATCACCTGAGGACTCCTCCGTGGCAGCGTGTATGAAACCGCTGAGCTGTGGCTTTTCTGGTGAATAAGTTCCCAGCATGAGTTTTCTCATGTGTAGCGATAATACGAACAATTTTTCTTTAGAAAAATGTAGCCTATTATAAAGGAAAAGCCTATTACTATTTGCCTAAGGGGTGGTATGAGCAAAGGTAATATGACTTTCCCTTAGGCAGATATTTTAAAGATGCTTTGTCATAATCAGTTAACTAATGATCCTACCTAGAACTTATTTTTTATTTTATAGATGGCTTGCCAGGCTGCCAGTTGTAAACTACGAGGAAATGCATAACCGTGATCAAGCTGACGATAATTCGACAGAGACAGATACCAAGAAATCAAAAGGTGAAAAAGGAAAGGAAAAGTATTAAAGTGTCAAAGTGAGAAATCAAGTGTGAAGAGTCTAATGGTTGTTTTTCAGGCAATATTTGCTCACAAAGAGCTCACGCAGAGTTTTCACAAATATGAAACTATTTTATTATCAAAAAAACTCTTGAGAATGCATGGAAAATATAATTCTCTAAATTCGAGATTTATAGCATGAATCTATATTTGAGTGAAGCTTGTAGTGATTGAAACCTTTCTACACTGCCGAGAAAATTAGAGGAACGACTGTTACTTCACGTTACAGTAAGAACAGGGAATTTATACAAGACGTTTATTATGCTTAATATGCCATCAAAATGCTTTATTGCATATTTCTACCAAAAATTAATTTAGATAAAAACGTAGAAAATGTGATATAATATAGCATAGGAAAAAGTTAATATTTTAAAATTTTTTAGATATAAGGAAAACCTTAATAAGGCATATAATTCCTCCTCTGACCAAAATACAAGCTTCAGAATGATTTTCTATGCTGTTTACTAACCTTCCCTGGTGCAACAAAGGGTATTCACGATGAGCAGAGTTTTGAAACTCCTGAAGAGTGCTCGGTGGGAGTTTTCGTAGTAAAAATTGGCGTACTTGTGCATCCTATACATGTTTTATGGGATTTAAACTCGAGAAATAATGCGGGTCATTTCAACCGTTATATTCCTTCACTTTTAAGATAACCGGTCACTAGTGTAGCTCGATGGAGATATGCATTTTCTACATTAGGGGAACTTATTACTGATTGCACCTCTAAAAAATTATATAAGGATAAAGAGGTTCAGAGCTGTATATTTCAGCATTCATAGTTGCATTAGATGTGGAGAAAAATTTGTAGATCAGTTTGGCTATGCAGTTACGATGCCCGCCAACGCCACGATTTCCACCATCTATCGATGCTTTTCACTGATGTTTCCGGAGTTATTACATCTGTTTTGCTCCATCTGCGCTGTAACACGCTCGAAATCATTTTCCTCATTTTCCAAATAAAAACGAGACTTACGAGTAAAAGCACTCTGCTTTAGTTCGTGGTTCTCTCACAATGATTTTGCAATACTGCAAACGGGCACATTTCGCAGCTTAAGTTAATGGGACACAAATCATAGGCTCCCTTGCCTACAGTTCATTTAGTTCATTTTTATGCAGCTTGTCACTCACGGTATGTCTGGATAGTCGTGTTTCTGTAACTTCAATGAGCTCCCTTGCAGTTTGGGTTGACATCAGTTTTCTGTCTTTTTTGCCAGTTGTTGCTAAACGATCTTGAGAGTCTGTTGTGAAACGGTTCCGACTTTGGCCTGATTGTCTGCATACATCGGTAATGACTTAAGCCCTTTTTAGAGTCTTGACATGATGCGTTCGAATACTTTTAGTCTTTACAAGCTGTGTCATTTATTTCCTTTTTCGCAATCATACGCCATATTTTGCGATCAGTCAAATGCCTTCTCAGTGACATGTTCCCCCTTCTACATGCAACAACCTTTTATCCATTTACTCATACAACCTTTGAAATTAGAATTTAAAACCACTCCATGCACTCCTTTTCAAACATTCCAAAAGATCGGACGCAAAAATTTGCATATTTCTTCTTAACGAAGATGAATTTCATTGAACTAAATCTGAACTTGAACTATCAACTACCTGCCTTCTGTTGAGCTTTACTTAATAGAATTAACATTAAGCCCTTTGTTATTGTTGTCTCTTTAATTTTTCCCGCTAGTGTAGATAAGAGAAAGACAAAGAATAAAAATTGCTCCGCTGACAATGAAATATGGATGATGGAGAAATTAATCCGATTAATTATTATCAATCTACAGCTCTTTTATTTTACATTTATGTTATTATATATATAATATGTTTCCGTGAAAGACCGAAACTGGAGAATGTCGACATTCTCCGGTGAATGTCAACATATAAATACATAGTTGATAGACCGAATATTTGCTTACATTCTTATACATTTCGATCGTCACCGCTCTAACAAGCATAGATGTGCTCTGGTGAAGGTCGAAACGAGAAGCCGCGAAGAAAGACAGAGGCGCTGTAAAACCAAGGGACTATTTGTGCAATTCAGAGTGTCATTACAGTTTAACTTGTTGCAGTAAATAAGACTGTATAACGTCAGTCGCATAATTAAGTAAGTTTGTTATTGGATTTATTTTCTTTTCTCATTTAGAATGCACTGTTCGTTTTACGTTCTATAGTTTATTTGATGTGCCGTTACTTAAGCTTTCTGCTATTTTGACATATAATATGTTTTAATAATAATGTATGATTTAAAAACGTAAAAAAATATTTTTATTCGCTGGTTAAGTGAGAAATAAGAATATTTAGAAAATATTTCGGACATACACCAAGCGATTATGTGAACGTTGTTATTCACTGAAGAATGTCGACCATTTTGCAGATTTCGGTCTTTCACGGTAACATAGACAGCAAGTAGGGCAGTAAATGATTTGTTTGTATTAAACATGAATTTAAAATCGTTTGTTTGGAAAGAATTTTTAATTATAGCATTAATTTCGGTACAGAAGATTTGGTTTTATTTTTAATTAAGTTTTTGTTTTCAATTACTTTTAAAACAACATACTAGAAAATATTCCTCATGTTATTAGTAAATAGTCTCATCTAAAATTATTTTTTGTAAAGATCTCCATGCCTTGTATTTATTATATTATTATATGTATTTTTTGAGTTTTATAAATAAATTATTTATTTTCCTTCTGTGTGAATTTATTTTTATTTCGTACTTGTATGAACTGCTCAGATAAACTTCAAACTAAGCTGTCAACTGCTCTGAGATGTAGGGATAGTTTTTAGTTTATTTTTTAAGCAATTTACAGGGCTTCCTTTTACTCATGCATTTCTACTTCTAGGTTTTTCAGTTGGTTTATTTCAGATACGGCCTGTCCATGAAAGATCTTGCCACTGAATTTTAACTTTTCAAGATTAATAACATTTCACCGTGTTAGTCATTAATAAATACTATTTCTGATTGAATATTGTTAGTGTTAACAATATTATTTAATTTAAATTTCTTTGTATAATTAAATAAAATATTAATATAATTTTTTGAGTTACATGGCTTTACTTTATATACTTTTTTTCCCCTTACCAATGGCGGGCTATCAGCCGACTTCGGCTTGGCCACTACTAAGGCAAGAAGTGGCGGTGACTTTATTATGGAGGCACCTAATAGGTTGATATTCGAAAATAAAAAAAAATAAAAATTTTAGCTGTCTCTTAGTTATATGCGGCTAAAAAAGAAAAAATCCTGAGGCTAATAGCAACGACGTATTCGAAGTCAAAATTGTCAAAGGGAAATGATACGATTTAAAAGTGTTTTGATATATGTCATATTTATATTATCACTTCTACAATTCCTTAAAATTCTATTAATGACTTAACAGAGTTCACATATGCATGTTTCACAGTTTTAGTTTTAGTCGTATATGACCAAGAATATTATTGCCATGTATCTCTGCGGTCAGCCAATCAGCTGCCTCCTATTGCGGCGAGAACCCAGCAGGTGAGACAGACAGAGTGATTGACAGACGAGAGTAGTCTGTAGAAAATTGCCAGGGAATTATCGAAATAAAGTCCTTCAGTTAGCTCATGATTCCATGTTTGGAAATCATTTAGGCATGCTGAAAACTGAAGAAAAAGTTAAACTTTCTTCTTATTGTCCAAACATATTGTTGCGTTTTTCTTTTCTGACACTAGTTGTTACGCTATTTTCTTCCTTCATGTTCGTACGGGGTTCGTGTCGGAGTGAACAACGATGACACCTTGATGAAGTATCGAAACACAATTTATTTAGCCAATATTAATCAGGACAGCTCCAAAATCTTCTTTTACAGTCGTCGAAGATCTACTATACACTCGCTGGAACAATCAGCATCATTGTCAGGCAATAACGGTGGAGATAGCTTCACTACAAAGCACCAGAGTACAGCTCTCGACTCTGATCAGTTGTTCTCGGAACTCCACGTACTCTCAAGACTCTCCGCGCTACAACTCGCGATGTACTCGACGACATACAGAGCACAGCTCCCGACTCTTCGGTTCAGTCGTTCCCGCAGCTCACCACGCTCTCTCGACGATGCACTAACCGCAATACACTACGAGACTCTTTCTGTGCACTCGACGACCCACTCGGCACTCGCTGGCCGGCTCTCAACTCGATCGTTATCCGCGCGGACTAACTAGATGACACACACTGACTCGCCCTCTCGACGAGACACACACTCGATACTAACTAACTCTCCGCGTACCAGCAGGGTTTATATAGCTTTTGGCTGGTGTTCGAGAACATTCTGGGCTAAACCCGTAAGAATTCGTTCCAGAAGGTTCTCCATTCGTCCATGGCATACCGACAATTTTGTCGCCAAATGGGCGATTTCCAGCCAAATGTGGCAACCCGGCTTTCCCTTGCCATTTTATGGCAACCCTAAATCTGCTTTGCGGGGAAGCCATCTTACCGCGCCTGTACATTTCGTAACAATATCTAAAGGTGTAGAAAATTATTGTAGAACATGCGAAAAATGTCAATTAAAAGTCCGGAAAGACAATCGGACAAAATTCCGATTATTTCAATTGCTCGCGCGCCATAACCATTTCATACAGTAAATATAAATATTATTGACAGTAAATATACAGTAAATATAGCACAACAATTGTAATAACTAATATTTTTTTTTTTTTCATTTTAAGGCATTTTATTAAAATCATGTAACTTAGAAAGAGTTTTTATACATTTTATTTGGTAATCATGTAGTAGAAAAACTACTGCTTTTATTTAGTTGTTGTTTGTTTTTTTTTTTTTTTTTTTTTTTTTTTTTTTTTTCCCAGATGGCGGAATTTAATTGGTTGTTATTTTAACCATTTGTATCACTTCTTTTTCCAGCCATCTTACCACGCCTTTTCTTTTATACTTTTATTTCACAGAATGGAGGAATGAAAAAAATAGATCTTGGGAAAGATTCTTTTTAACAGCATATTAAAGATGAACCCGTTGCGTAACCTTTTTCCACTAAAATCTTCTGATTTATCCTATGTCATAAATTGTCATTCAACTTGATGTAAAAATCCTCCGTTGTTAATATATATACAGCAACTAAAAAATCGGATTTTCAAAAAAAACCATCCATATACAGTAAACTGTGGTATAAATTCAGTAAAGACTTCATTCGAAAATCTATCTCTTGTGTTAAGATAGCAAATTTGCAGTGATTAGTTTGATTATTAAGGCATTTATGAGAAACATTTAACACTAAATAAAACAAAATCTATGTCGAATCTTTGATTCCTGTTGAATAATGCACATTCTTCACAAGCACATATGTGTAAAACATTCCACGAAAATCGAGTCGGAAAAAATGGGCTCAGAAATTAATTTGAAGATCTGACCAAGCAAGCAAACTAACAAATAATACCATATATAAGTTAAGTTATGGGTTATTCAATTATGGCAAACCACACGAGGGCTATCTGCCTAAAGGAAGGGATGCCTTCGTGGAGGACTTTCTAAGGGAAACTGGCTCTATACAAGTTATACATGGGGAAAACCACGAAAACGCCCATGCAGCCAGCCCGTTCGCGGGATTCGAACCTCGGACCGAAATACCAGCGTTCAGCGTCTTTAACGCTCGGCCGCTGGTGGGCTATATATAAGTTAGGCATTTTGGTTTTAAAAATTATTTCGATATTATTATTTATTTTCAATAATTAATTTTTTTAATTTTAATTAGCAATAAAAATTTACAAAACAAAACAATGTACACTTCTCTCTAAAAGGAACAGCATGTTTTTCAAAGCTCATCATTACAAAAATGTCAGTAACATTTAAACTCACAGTTTATATATGCATGACAGTAATGAAGTTTAAGAAAATAAAATGCAAAAACAATAGCTACTACTTTTAATTTATAAAAATGAATACTTATGTAAGAGTTGCAGAAATATGCAAAAATTGTAAATTTTGTTCGCGATTGTTGGTTTTCAATTGTTATGATGTCCCAATTACATTATGCTTCGGCTACGCGGGACGTGACGTCGAAAGGGACAATTCTCAGAACCCTCACAATTCCAAGAAACCCACGTAGCTAGGTAACAGTTTCACTTACTACAAAGACTTGTACGCCAAACACTAATCGATTATGGCTCAGACTGGGATCAAGTGATGCTTCAGAAGCAGAACCTTCGTCTGATTGTATTGTCTCTACCCGGGACAGAGGTCCGGCCGAGAAATTTTTAGTATGGTTTGAAAAAATCCCGCGTAGCCGCAACATAGTTTTCATAGCTAGGTGGAACTTCGCTTCAGGCGGAGCTCTTTTTTCTAGGAATCCTCCTGGTTAAATCAGTGCCTCCAGAATCTCATTTCTCAGAAATGTTCCGTCTAGCCGGGACTGTAACCAAGTGTGATAACCTCTTTAGCAGTTTCGTTGACAATATCCAAGAGAGTCTGTCAATGTCCTGGAGGAGTCGTTTGCCCGATTAGTTGAGGTGGCGGGGGATCGGATGCGTGAAAATATGGATGTCACAAGCTGATGCTACCAGACGTCTTAATGTCTCTCGTAATGTGGTCTACGTACTATGGAATCAGTTTGAATCCGAGGATTCTGTGTCTAAAAACATGTTCTAGGCAGACCAAGAGTTGTAACACTTGTGGGAGACCGTTATTCAGCTCTTTCGAGCCGAACGAGGAGCAACATTACTGTGACTCAACTCATGTCAGGAACAAGTCAACAGGCAACACGAACAAGAATATCATCTACTACAGTGCGCAAACGCTTTCACAATGCAGTTCTGTATGCGAGCCGACCAGTTGTTTGTGCTCCCTTCACCCGAGAATACAGAGGGGCCACTTTATGTTAGGCAAGGGAACATGTTTCTGGAACCAGGCAATAATGGGCGTTTGTTCTCTTCCCAGACAAGTCCAGGTTCCTATTGTTCCATAGAGGAACATTGACCAGTGTGTGATATCGAGAGGAGATCTTTGATCAATATGTGCGCCTATACGCCGCTGCTATTGTTCCTGGATTCATTCTGATGGATGACAATGCGCGAGCACACAGAGCTCGGGCTGCTAAAGAATATTTGAAAGTCACGGTATGGAACGGATGGAATGGCCAATTCAGTTCTCAGACTTGAATTCGATACAGTATCTTTGAGATTACCTTGGATTTGGATAGGTTGCTGATTTAAGTCCTCCTTCACGGTCGGTAGAGGAACTTGAACAACAATTACTCCGTGCCTGGTCGCTGCTTTCAATTTCACTTATTGACAACTATATTGACAGCATGGAACGTCGCTCCCGCCAATGTATTGCAGTTTGGAGTGAACAGATTCCTTATTAGAATCCATTTTTGTAATATTACTACCACATTTTTCCTTAAGAAACTGTGATGTGCTGTTTCTCCAAGACTGGATTTTTCTGCCAAGACTAAGCATCTTAAGTCCCATTCATTAAAGAATTGTGTAAGATTCTGTACTGAGTACTTTAAGTTACAATTGAATGTGAAGAATCTTAAGAAATAGTAAGCGAGTAATCGCTTGAGTTCGTGAGACAGTAACCAAAACTTGAAAAGTGTTAAAGACCTTTTATTATTCAAAGAAGGTTTAACAGAACTCCGTCTTGGAGTTTTTACAATAAAGCCGACACTCGGGCTTGAATGTAGGAACTATGAATTAAACTAATCTAATCTTAACTAAAAAGATATAGCCGAAGCTATCAAACTTTTTTAACGGTGTTGGCCACTTAACACTAATTGACTGCGAAGCTATCAAGGGCCTAAAGTACGGCCAAGCGTAATAATAGTTTAAGAGAGAATAGCCTAAAAAAGCGGAAGCTTGCTATCCAGAATCTCTGGTTCTCTCTAACTAAGACAGTAGAACTTCGCGGTTAAATGCAGCTCTTCCTCAATTTGCATTAAAACGTGATTCTGAAACTACGTTTTGGCCGGAAGTTGTATGTTGAAATTAAGAAGCGATAGGAAAGGAACTTTAACTCAAAATTTAAAGGTTAAGAAAATTGACATAATCCTTACAACTGTTTAGTGAGCATATCCTCTAAATTTCTTCTTTCTATGTTGCTTCATTGTCAAATAAGACACACATGCTATTCCTTAACTTTTGAAGGGCACTGTATTTCATATCATTATTTAAGCTTTTTTTTTTCTGCTTAATATTTACAAAATCATTGCATTATAAACAAGAACATTAGAGTCTAGAAAGACACAATTTTAAATATCTAAGCATGAGATGCTATCATGAGCATGAAACGTAAATTTATGCATGAAAAGTGTAAAAAAAAACGAAATTTTCTTATGTTTATGATAAATTCTAACTTTCAGGTAAAACGTATCTGTTTTAGGATTTAGTTATATAGGCCTAGCAATTATACATCAAAGAAAGACCGCTTTATTAAGAAATGAAAACATATGACACTTGAAAAGTGCAGGTTTTAACTGTTTATTTACACGAGAATGGTTTTTTAGATAAATGTATCGGAAAACGTTTATGCAAACA